TACGTACATTTTGGCTGAATTGTGCCTGCCTATGGTCGGCTGAGCTTCAGATGCCTATGACGAAAGCACGTATTTCACACGTCATTTTTGTCCGAGTCTGCTTGTTTTACACGGGTTTTCATCCGTGTCAGTGGGTTGTGGGCGGGCGCGAGCGCGCGGGGCAGCAGTAAAATGGCGCGGTGTTTGCGGAGGCGGGCCCAGCGATAGGAGAGAATGCGTCCTACTAGGAGTCCTAAAGTGTCCTATTGTCCTAAAATCTGGGATAAACAACTAGCAATGGGCTCATAAACAAACCGATATTTAGGACACCACAATGAGTTTTAGAACGAAACAAGCCAGGCTCCGCATGTCTTAATATGACACTCGACAAATAGACACTTAGTCTGTCCTATTAGGACAGACAGCAACTCAGACCACTGTCCTATTAGGACACCACCAAACCCAACATGCACTGTCCTATTAGGACAACGCTACTTGCCTTCCTACTGTCTTGTCAATACAATTCAACTATAACAACACAACAGCAATTACACAAGGCAAAATTGTATTAGTAGATTAGGACCCTAATTCTATCTGCATCTACTCAAAGCTTTTGTAGTCTTCAGGAATCTCCAGTTTCGCTGGTGGGGCATGCTGAGGGGTTGTCTGGCGGAGGTGTTTGATATCCTCGATACACCGGATATAGCGTGCAGCCTCACGCTTGGTACCTTCAATAAAGACTAAAAGGCCAGGATGTGTACCCATTCGGGACGCAAAGTCACGATTGTACATCTCCAATTTATTGTTGGTACGGTTGATCACATCAACCCAACACGCATCATCTCCTGAACATTACACGTCCTAGCGTCATACCTATCCATCCAAGTCTTCAAAAAATACTTCCAGAATGCATTTCACTTTGTCTTTGCTCCAGTTTCGTCGGCAATACTGCGGAGGCATCTAACACCTTAAAAAATTGCAAAAACCTGAGATCCAAAATATATTAACATCAAAAAGATCAGATTCAAAGTGTAAATAGGAATGATCCAAATATAATAGTGCACGTCTTTTTTTTGGGATTTGGTCCACAGAGAAGACAGCAAGCGTGCCAAATTTGTCGTGGCTGAGCACACTCTAGATTTGGCAGTCTAAAGCGTAGATCGACCATTTTACGACGTAGTGCCTGTTTCCAGTGAAGCAGGCACCCTACGAGATTGGCGCGGGAAACTGCTCCAGAGCTGCGTTAATTAACGCCACTTCGATGTCATACGTGACGTTTCCAGGC